CCACTGGAAGCCCGCCAGGGAAATGAAACGTTTGCTCGGCCGTGGAATTACCCATGTGTGTCGCGCACTGCACGCACTTTTGCAGAGAAATAGGTCAAATACAATAATGCGAAAAACTGTCCTCCCCAATCGAACGCTTGCTTACTTAAGGATTCGTTGAAACAGGTTTTGACTTGCATTTGGGATGCTGCGGAGTACAATGTATTCCAAGCTCCAATGTACTGCAACATCCGTCTGCGACTCACCTGATATGCTAATGCGAGCAGGTCAAGTTAAGTTATTCCTGTACTTGTCAGTCGATTTTCTGGGGAGCGAACAACATGTATGGAGCTAACTTGTCACAGCCCGCCACATTCTCATTTGTTTTTTCCCGTCACTGATCTCACCATCATCCGTCGCGGATTGTGCTCGAAGTTAAGATACCCCGTGTGAGCATATTATTTGACATGTTTCGCTTAGGCAAGTTAGTGCCGGTCGTCAGCGGTGCGTTCAATTTTTGGTGTCAAGAAGAATTGGTGCCCGGCGCAACGTATTTCATTGATGGGCAAGCGGTGGAAACATGCGACGTCTTAGGGCCACCTCTAGGCGGCGAGCCTGCAGTTGTCATAGTAAACGAGAAGGGCCTGACCGCGAGAATCACACTCACTTTGAGGGGGAACCTCGTACTGCGAGGGAATGGCTCTCGTAGGGCACCGCTTTTGACATCTGCAGGCAGTATCATCGTGTTGAATTGCTCGTTGGTCTCAGAGGGAGTTCTCCTTCATGCGGCTGGCGATGTAGTTCTCGCCGCGGGTAGCCGTCTACATGGGACAGGGCATCATATTCCGATGTCTGATCCATTGCGCAACAGCTTTGTTACAGCAGCGGACTTGACAATAGGGGATAACAGTGTCCTCATTATACATGACTTCCGGACAACTGCGATTCATGTGCAGTTTAATTTTTCTGTCAGATTTGGCGGTAGCGCCCAGATTTCAAATATCACTGACACACCCATAGAAGCTGGTTCCATTCATATTGCCCGTGGTGGATACATGAGCGTGGTCAATGGAAAAAGCACAGGCTACGGCGGCGGCATTTCTACTATACATGGTATTTATGTGGCTGCTGGTGGTAGGATGAAGTTGCAAGGACTAAGTTCTGCGAGATCTGGAGGGGCTATTGATTGTGGCACAGAAATGCTCGTGGAGGGAGATGTCGAGATTTGTGATGCCAAGGCTTCCTCCGACGGTGGTGGGATAAGTGCCAGTTTGTTCGTTGTGTCTTCCAGTGGGCACGTATCTTTTCAGAGGACAGAAGGCTTAAATGGAGGAGCGTTGTCTGCTCTGGATGTCCAGGTGACGGGAAAGATTTCAATTGCTAACTCCTATGCTGCAGTGGACGGTGGCGGTATTTCCAGCCAGAACATAGAGATCCATGGCTCCGCCTATTTTTACGAGGCGCGAGCTGGAGCAGCTGGCGGCGCAGTGAGAGCATCGAGTAAAGCGCACTTTGGTGGGCGGACAGTGTTCAACAGCACTCACGCTGGCACCAGTGGCGGCGGTCTGCACGCTGCCACCAGCCCAGCGGTGATTGCTGGAGAAGTGCACTTTTACAACACGACCGCTAGGAATGCGGGTGGGTCCATCTACAGCGAAGGTGTCGTGGAGATCAAAGTTGGTGGAAACGCTACTTTCTATTCAAGCCGTGCAGACGGTGTCAACGATGGTGGTGGGGGCTGTATTTCCGCGGCTAGTTTCGTAGCCGAAGGCGACGCAAGTTTCGTTGACACGAGTTCGAAGGGCAATGGTGGAGCCATCGACGCATTGCAATTTAGCGTGCGGAGTGGCAGCCGCGTCGGGATCCATAATGCGCGCACCGACGAAGGTAAAGGAGGAGCAGCGTTTGCATCGTATGTGGACATATTGGGCACTCTTGAGCTCCGAAATATGCATGTTGAGGGAGGAGGGATCGCCCTGCAATCAGATGCTGGATCGATCATGGGGACCCTTGTGATTTTCGGTGACCCCCATGACTCCGTGGTTGGGCAGGCACTTAGTGCCACTTCGACCGAAGTCAGCGGCACCGTGCGCATTGAAAGTGGTGACTTGACGACTGCGATCGCTGGAATCACGTGTTGTGAAGCCACGATTGAGGATATCTCGTCAAAGTATGGCGTGACACTGAACTGCGATAGCAAGCTTGTCCCTGTCGTGTGTGAAGGCATAGACGCTGGAGGCCATGCGATATTTGCCAGCTTCGGGTGTGAATCTGGACGACTTGATGAGCTAGCGGACATGTGGCCGACGATTGTGATTGCTTCCCCTTCGCTGAGTCTCACCGGTTCGAAATTTCATGGCGATGCAGGTCCACTTTTGCAATTCTTCCGCACTCCCCTTGCAGCGCTCTCTCTTCGGGGCACGGCGGCAACGCTAGATTTACACCAGTCTTTTGTGCGTGGTCTCCTCCCCAGATGGTTGGATGTTCGAGGCTCTGAAGTTACACGTGGATCGTTCCCGCTGGTCCAAGACGTGAGTGACTGCACGTCGCAGTTGAAGACATGCGTCGTGCAGGGTCGTAGCAATCAGAGCGCTGTCATAGTGACCATGTCGGGGACATCTGTGTTCAAGCCAGTCACGGAATCGGAGTTGTTGGTGGATCCAGAACTGTTTTGCCCACGCGATTTCGTGCTCAACGGAGTTGTTTGCGCGCATTGCTCGGGGACGTGGGAGGGCCTCGACTGCAGACGTCCTGGCCAGACCACCACAGAGGCTGTACCCCAGAAGGGGTATTGGCGAGGACGCGCGCACATCAGCAGTCCTGTCCTGTGTCGACGTGGAGAGAAGGCGTGCCCCGGTGGAGCCATTGAATTCTGCTCTGACAACTATACTGGTGCCTTTTGTGCAGAGTGCGCCAGTGGCTTTTGCTCACTCTCTCGCACAGGCGAGTGCACCCAGTGCTCGCACCACGTCATATCACGCCTCCAGGACGCTGGCACATGCATTGCGTTTCTGATGTGTATCAGTATTCTCTGGAATCTCGTCTCTCGTGCCAGGAGCGGCACCGCCACCCAGGTCCAGGGCCGTGGCTGCTTCGCCCCTGCATGCGGCCAGATACGAGTCGCTCTGCGTGATCGCGCGCACCTCTTTACCTCATTCTGTACCTCATTCGTCAGGAGGCCTGGAGTTCAGTTCATGCGACCTAAGGTGACAGCGCTTGTGATTTATTCTTCTCGCTTCGCGGGCACCACGTCCAGACAGGCGCTTCCTCCGCTCCTCTTCTCCCCCCGGCCTTTCCCCCTCCCCATCCGCCTCCTGCCGCGGCTGCGCGCGCCTGGAGCCCATGTAGAGACTAGTCTCACTTTGATTTCTCTGATTCAGGGGGCCTCAAGAGTACGGTCAGTGACTGGTGACCTCCCTCTCTCCTCGGATGAGTCCCCATTTCCCCTTCCCTCTGCTTGTCCCTCCCTCCTCCTCCAACGCGCCTGTGTAGACAGTACACGAATCAGGTGATTGAGTGGATCGTGATTTCTTGACTTGGAATTTCAGCTATCAGGGGATCAGGTGCCTCTGGAGAGCCAGTGGAGGCCGATTTCCCCCCGAGCGGTCGCTCCTTAGGCCGGAGGAATCCCCCCCTCCGGGGGCCGCCGGTAGGCTCTATATACTCGTGGTCTGTTGGTGCAGCTCATCTTCAAGACATCGAACCAGTGGCTCGCAAGTGTTTTTGTCTTCGCTTGTCTTGTCCTCCTCCGTTTACGGCCTCCGTCGTCGGGATGGTCCGCCCTGTCTTGGGTGTCGTCTTGCTTGGCCCGCGTCCGTTCGGGGGGCTCCGTCAATCCTCCGCGACTTGTCGACTCGCATGAGTTCATCGAGCGGACTTGTAATGGTTCAGTTGTTCTAGTGCGCCGCGCTTTGCCATATAAGCTTGCACTGTGTGCGCTTAGTGTTCCGTGTCGAGACATTCCAGTATTGGGATTGGCCCGGGGAGCCATATGTGACACCCAAGTGTCTGACTGCTCGTTTGCTTTGTTGGTCAGCGTGCTCCCGGTTCCCCGTGTGTGGGGTGGGCGCGGGAGGGGCCGTGCGTTGCGGTGCCGCAGCTGCCGCAAGTTCGCGGCTAACTCCTCCTCGTTCGCCTGGGCCCGCTTGGAGGGCGTTGAGGTCTTTTTCTGGGGCATCCTCGGGATCTCGTCTGGGCTCCCAGAATGCTCGCCCCTCAAACCAAGCTGCTCGGTGCAACTTGCTTTCGGCCTCCTGAGGGTCGTTCTGGAGCACGCCTGCGAGCCTCTTGGGTTTTCTCGGGGGCATCCCTGGGACCCGTCTGCGCTTCCAGAGGGCTCCTGGACCGCCTGGGGTCAGGCCCGTGGGATTCGCCAAGAGCCGCGGGTCGCGACGTTGCTGAGGTTTTTGCTCCCCAATAGGACCCCGCCAGGTGCTCAGGGGCATGGGGCCAGATCCGCGGGCTTAGCCCAAGCCGCGGGTATGGCATTTGCTATTTGTTGCCCGAGTTCCTTACGGATGCTCTTAGGGCCTTTTGGGGGGCGTCCTCGGGCCAGAGGATGAGGACGATGACGAACATGACGACGAAGAACATCATGGGGAGAAGGAGGTGATGAGGACGTTCAGGATGAGGATGGGGACGACGGAGAAGAATAACCGGACGAAGAGGAGGCGAAAGAGGACGGGGAGGAGATGAAACCCTACATAAGAGAGTGGGCCCATTCTCACACCCACCTGCCCCGTTCCAAACGTAAGGGTCCACCTGGGGCACTTCAGATCCACTCTGGCGAGGCGGACCGCTCATGCGGGATCATTGTTTTCTGTGCGTGTTCACTCTCATGAAGAAAGAGGGGAAGGGCTTAACGTCAGACCTTTCTGGACCCTTTCTGGGATCGTGGGCCGATTTTACGCCGTGGGTCCCGTAGTCGATAGGATTCTGGAGGCAGGCTTAGAACACACCGAAGACATGGGCCAAGGTAATGTAGAGGGGGCAGTCTAAATCAACGAGGCAGCAGCCCAACTATGTGTCTCTCTGAGCCGGATGGGGCAGCGGATTTCCAACTTGTGGGCGCATCGTGGAGCACATATGGTGACATTGATGATGACCGTCCACTTCTGGAGCGTGTTGGCATGATGATGAATTTTGACGTGGCGTCTCTCAGAACTGCATTTTCGTTAGGGTGTGTGGTCTATCACGATACCGCAGTTGCACTTGTGATGCAGCCGCTGTTTCCGATCATCTTCATAGTTGCGTGGACACTTCCAAAGGCAATTGCGAACGGCGTCAGGTCTTTTCAGACGCAGAAGGCCCTTTCATCTTCATCCGCCTTCGCTATGAACTACATGCTGATCGGCGCTTTCAAAGCGTGTGCCACTGCGAACGGCTGTGTAGAGACGAGCCCAGGCTCAAGTGTGCTGTCAGTTGATACGCGGCTTCAATGCGACAAAGGTTGGGGCCTAGTCATGAGGCGCTACGGGTTCGTCATGGCGGTGGTCTTGGCTACGCTTAGTGTGGCAATGTCGCTACGCCTGAACAAACTTATCCGAAACCATGTTCATAAAGCGGCGTGCTTGTATGAAGTTGTCTTGGTCAAGCCCGACGGTGCATCAGCAAGGGTAGATCGTCGCATTCGTTCTACAGCACCAGCGTTTGAGGAGGCTTCGAGAACAGCTTTGGACAGGCTGCATGACGATCGGCAGGTGCATTTAGCAATCGCCAGCGGCTCCATGGCTTACATTGCTTCAACCGAGATCGATCGAATTGACGAGTGCGTCCGTGTGATGGAGGTGCTGGAAGTTTGGGAGGCGGAGCAGATACATGGTGCGATAATTGGTGCGAGTAGTGTTTTCGTTTATTTTAATCTTGATGCAGGTCTCTTCAGTATTTTCATACTGATGTTCAAGGCAGGCTTCGTTTATTACGCCATCAGTCGCCCGTGGATCTCGGCCATGATGGCCGTCGTTCTAGCTTTGGCATTTCTCTTTTTAGCCCCATACGTCGACCCGCACAATAACGCGATGTACGCCTGCACTATGGGAGCTCTCGCCGCATTTGTATTCTCAGCTGATGGCGGCATTACCTTGCAGGCAGTTTTCTTTCTAATCCCCATTGTCTTTCTGGTTTACACAGGGACTCTCACTCGGTTCGGAGGTTCCAGGTATATGAACGCCATGCGCCGTGCGGCAGACAGAGACCGAGATGCCGACAAACATGTAGCTTGTCCCTCGGGTTCTGGCACAGAGCTCTCAGCGTTGCAAACATGACGGTGATACATGTTAGTGTGCCAGGAACCAGGGCACTTGCATTGAAAGTTTTGCGACGTTCGCGCCGGCAGAGTTGGCATAGCCAATATTGGCACAGGGTGGTCACCTCCATCGGCACACTCTGCTGATAAATTATCGTCGCCGTCATCGTCCGCATCATCACCATCATCTGCACCTTGACCATCACAATTCTTGTATCCCCACCTGTCCGTAGCCCCCTCTGGCTCAAGCCGTCTCGGCTCAAGGTTGGTCGGCGCGACCTGGGTCCGCCGCCATCGTGCCGCGGCTTGCCATGCCAGGGGGTCTGGGCGCCGCGCCTGCCGGCTCCGCCGCCACGCGCCGGCGCCGCCGCCTTCGGCGCGCCGCTGCCGCGCGCGCGGCTGCCGCCGCCTTGCCGCCGCCAGGCCTTTCCTGGCTCCGCGGCGAGTGCGGCGGTTCTGCCGCGGCCCGCGGCCGAGGCGGCGCCGCGCCTGGTGCTGCGCCGCCCCCTGCTGCCGCCACCGCCTCGAGGGCCGCCTCGCCCGCCGGCGCGGTCGGCCTCGCGGTGGACGCGGCGGCTGCGGCTGCCGCCTGCGCCGATGCCGCCGCGGTCGCGGCTCGCGCGGCTCTCTGGACGGCTGCGGCCACGCTGGCGCAGGCCGCTGCCCTCGCGGCCGGCGCCACGATGGCCGCGGCTGGCGCCACCTCGGCCGACGCGGCCGCCGCTGCCGCCGCCGCCGGCTGCCGCCCCCTGGTGGGCGAGGAGGTGCTGGAGTGGGTCCTGGAGGAGGGGGTGGTGGAGCAGGAGCTGCAGGAAGTGTTCGAGGACGCGCGGGGCGACGTGGAGGTGGAGGCGGAGGACGAGGGGGTCCCCGCCGAGCGCACACCTGGCGGTCTCCTAGCTCCTGGACTCAGAGATGGGGTCGAGAGCTCCGAGGTCCTGGGTGTTGGGATGGGGTCGAGAGTTCAGGGACTCGATGACGCTTCGGTTGTGGGTCCTGGGAGATGCGGCGGCGCGTGCTTCCCTGGAGTTTCTTCCACCGCGCCGGCGCAGCCGTTTGCTGCCAACCTGGAGTCACTTCAGACGACGGCACGTGTTTCCCTGTAGTTTCTTCCGCTGCCGGCGCAGCCGTTGGCTGCCACACACCTGGCAGGCTCAGGGGTCCTGGACGCGGCGATAGGGTCGAGAGCTCTGGGGTCCAGGGCGTTGGGATGGGGTCAAGAGCTCGGTGGTCCAGGGACGTCGCGGACGTGCATCCTGGGAGGGACGGTGTTTCGTGCATCAGAGGCAGGCAGACTGGCGTTCCTACTGCTCCTCTTGCTCCTCTTTCCTATCAACGTGTGGCACGAGCTCAAGCTATCACATTGCCAGTCGCCGGGGCTGTCGGCCACCACCTCGCCTCCCATTGCCCCCCCCCCTGACAACAGCATCGCGGCGACAGGTGGGAGGGCTGCTGAGGAACAGCCCGCGATTGGAGACCAGTCTCCCCCCGACAAAGACGGGCCTTCAGCCCGGGGAGCGCCGTGCGATTCCGCCCACGTCCCCGATCCACATCCCATTGGCTCACGCCCACACTCCGCCGACCACCCTCCCTTGGACGCGCCCAGTGCCGCTGGGCATGTGGCCGCGAGAGGCGACGGGAGTCGCCGCGCGCCCACCGCCCTTCCTGGAGGTGACAGCACTGCGCACGCTGAGAATGGGCCTTCAGCCCGAGGAGCTCCCAGCGAGACGACATCATCGAACGATCCTGCTGCTCGGGACGCCCCAAGCGGACTGTTCGGCGCCGATGGCGATGCAACGACCAGTCAACTCCCTGGGCACTCCTGTAACTCCGAGGACTTTCGTGAGCCACCCGCCCCCCAGTCGGACAGTCGCGGATGCGACGAGCCTTCAGCTCGAGATTCTCACGTGGAGCGAGCCTTCAGCTCGAGGGTACAAGGCGTTTCCGGCAATCACAGAAGGGACACATCGAGCAACCACAGAGGCGAAGAGCCTTCAGCTCGAGAATCGGAGGCGGCACCAAAGGTTGTCGGGGGCGCCGCTGGGCAAGTGGCCACGAGCGGCGACGGGAGTCGCCGCGCGCCCGCCGCCCTTCCTGGAGTTGACAGCACTGCGCATGTAGATAATGGGCCTTCAGCCCGAGGAGCTCCCAGCGAGAGAGCTGTTCTGAGCGATCCTGCAGCTTGGGACGCCCCAAGCGGACTGCGCGGCGTCGACGGCGATGCAACGACCAGCCAACTCCCTGGGCACTCCTGCAACCCCGAGGACTGTCGTCAGCCACCCGCCCCCCAGTTGGACAGTCGAGGTACAGCTCCTCATTCCTATCAGCGTGTGGCACGAGCTCAAGCTATCACATTGCCAGTCGCCGGGGCTGTCGGCCACCACCCCGTATCCCATTGCTCCCCCCCTGACAACAGTATCTCGAGGGCACTATCTGTTGATGCTCAAGCGGTTGGGGCTCAACCTGTGGCGGCACGAGCTCAAGCTACCACATTGCCAGTCGCCGGGGCCGTCGGCCACCACCGCATACCCCATTGCTCCCCCCATGGCAGCAGTATTGTGGCGACAGGTGGGAGCACTGACGACGATAGGGGGGTGGAAGAGGAAATTCTCGACAGTCGCAGACGGGACGAGCCTTCAGCTCGAGAACCAAAGACGATGCCCACGGACGCCGAAAGCGCCGCAGAGACTGTGGTCATGGGGGACGGCTGCAGTCTCGAAGATCGGCCCAGGAGCCTGTCCAACGAGGGTGGACGGCCCGTGCTTGAGGCTGCCCAGTGGGGCGGCAGCGCTGACGATGGGCGGGTGGGCCGAGCGCATTCCGCCCGCGCCCCCGATCCACATCCCATTGGCTCACGCCCACACTCCGCCGACCGCCCTCCCTTGGACGCGCCCAGTGCCGCTGGGCATGTGGCCACGAGCGGCGACGGGGGTCGCCGCGCGCCCGCCGCCCTTCCTGGAGTTGGCAGCACTGCGCGCGCAGAGAATGGGCCTTCAGCCCGATGAGTTCCCAGCGAGACGGCAGCATCGAACGATCCTGCTGCTTGGGGCGCCCCAGGCGGACTGTTCGGCGCCGACGGCGATGCAACGACCAGTCAACTCCCTGGGCACTCCTGTAACCCCGAAGACTTTCGTCAGCCACCCGCCCCCCAGTGGGGCAGCCGCGGATGCGACGAGCCTTCAGCTCGAGTTTCTCACGCGGAACGAGCTTTCAGCTCGAGGGTCCAAGGCGTATCCGGTAATCACAGAAGTGACGAGCCTCCAGCTCGAGATCCAGAGACAGCGCCATTGGATTTAGAGAGAGGCTCAGAGGCTGCGAGTGCCGCCGGGCACGTGGCCACGAGCGGCGACGGAAGTCGCCGCGCGCCCACCGCCCTTCCTGGAGTTGACAGCACTGCGCACGCAGAGAATGGGCCTTCAGCCCGAGGAGCTCCCAACGAGACGGCAGCATCGAACGATCCTGCAGCTTGGGGCGCCCCAAGCGGACTGTTCGGCGCCGAGGTCGATGCAACGACCAGTCAACTCCCTGGGCACTCCCGTAATCCCGAAGACTTTCGTCAGCCACCCGCCCCCCAGTCGGACAGTCGCGGATGTGACGAGGCTTCAGCTCGAGATTCTCACGCGGAACGAGCCTTCAGCTCGAGGGTCCAAGGCGTATCTGGTAATCACAGAAGTAACGAGCCTTCAGCTCGAGATCCAGAGACAGTGCCAATGGACTTAGAGAGAGGCTCAGAGGCTGTGAGGGCCGCTGGGCATGTGGCCACGTGCGGCGACGGGAGTCGCCGCGCGCCCGCCGCCCTTCCTGGAGTTGACAGCACTGCGCACGCAGAGAATGGGCCTTCAGCCCGAGGTTCTCCCGACGAGACGGCAGCATCGAACGATCCTGCAGCTTGGGGCGCTCCAAGCGGACTGTTCGGCGCCGACGGCGATGCAACGACCGGTCAACTCCCTGGGCGCCCCTGTAACCCCGAAGACTTTCGTCAGCCACCCGCCCCCCAGTCGGACAGTCGCGGATGCGACGAGGCTTCAGCTCGAGATTCTCACGCGGAACGAGCCTTCAGCTCGAGGGTCCAAGGCGTCTCCGGTAATCGCAGAAGTGACGAGCCTTTAGCTCGAGATCCAGAGACAGTGCCTTTGGACTTAGAGAGAGGCTCAGAGGCTGCGAGCGCCGCCGGGCATGTGGCCACGAGCGGCGACGGAAGTCTCCGCGCGCCCGCCGCCCTTCCTGGAGTTGGCAGCACTGCGCACGCAGAGAATGGGCCTTCAGCCCGAGGAGCTCCCAACGAGACGGCAGCATCGAGCGATTTTGCAGCTTGGGACGCCCCAAGCGGACTGTTCGGCGCCGACGGCGATGCAACGACCAGTCAACTCCCTGGGCACTCCTGCGACCCCGAAGACTTTCGTCAGCCACCCGCCACCCAGTCGGACAGTCGCGGATGCGACGAGCCTTCAGCTCGAGATTCTCACGCGGAACGAGCCTTCAGCTCGAGGGTCCAAGGCGTATCTGGTAATCACAGAAGTAACGAGCCTTCAGTTCGAGATCCAGAGACAGCGCCATTGGATTTAGAGAGAGGCTCGGAGGCTGTGAGTTCCGCTGAGCATGTGGCCACGAGCGGCGACGGGAGTCGCCGCGCGCCCGCCGCCCTTCCTGGAGTTGACAGCACTGCGCGCGCAGAGACTCCGCCCGCCGCCGTCCCTGGTACTCTCGAAGACCCCATGCCGGGTAACCACGAACACGCCTTGCAGAGGCAGGGCAACGAGGCCATCCGCCAGCTTGTCGAGAGAAGTCCTTCGCGCCCGTTCGCCCTCGTTCCCCTGTCAGCGAATCCGCCCCAACTGACAGCGAACCGCAGCCACTCGCGCCCGAAGGCCGGACCACGCTGAGGAAGGCGACCCCCGCCCTGGCGAAAGAAACGGTGTCTGGCAGCGCGCCTGGGCCAGGTGCGACCCGCAGCACTCCCACATATGACGAAAGCCGCGCTGCGACAGACGGGGGCGCGCTCGTGGGCGAGGGCGGGCGCGGGTCTGAAGGCGAGCGCCCGCGGGAGGGGCCCGCCCCCGCTTACCACAGTGCAGCGGTCCTCGCAGCCCCAGCTGCTGGAGGCGACTCGGCTTTTACTTGGCGGCCAACCTTGCGGCCCGCGCCAACCCGCAAGTCCCCGCCAGACTTCCGTGCGCCAGTCGCCGCCGCGCCCCGCGAAGCCATAGACGATTTTGGCGGCGGGCCCAACCAGTCGGAACAGTCGCAGAGCAGCGTGCGTGAGCAGCATGCGGAGCAGGGGCCGGAAGAGCCCGATGAGCAGGAGCTGCCGGCCGCCCGCGGGGAGGGCGCGGAAGTAACGCTTGCGCAGAAAAGGGAGCACGGGCAAGAACAGGAACAGACAACCACCCTCCGCCTCACTCCCCTGGCTGACACCATTTGCCCTGGCCCCTCCCTCCCAGGCAAGGGCGCGAGCTCGAGCGCCGATGAGCAGCGGCAGCGCGGCCGGCACGTTCCCCCAGCGCGTCTTCGTGGCAGCGGGTGGGCGCCCTGCCTAGCCTCTGTGATTGGCCACCCTCCAGTCTCCCCGCTGCCCCTGGGCCGAAACCTGGCCAGCGACGCCGACCGCGCTGGCGGGCCGGGTGGACGGCAAACGGCAGGCGGCGGACGCAGCAGCGGCAGCCGCAGAAGCAGCAGCGCGCCGAGGACCAGCCGCTGACCACCCCGCCCCTGGTAGGGGGTCCCGCCGCGCGCCACTGCCCAGAACCTTTAGACCCAGACACTGGACAGCAGCTATATAAAACTAAGATCGGCGACATCCAGTGGGACCTCCCCGGGGAGACACACCTGGCGAGACGATAAATCGGCTTCAGGCTTCCCTGGGGGCGAGGTTCACAGGCGCCTGGCACGCGTTCGCCCAGCGGCGCGCCTGGCCTAGCTGCAATGGCGCGCTCGACCCGCGGCGGCACGACCAGCAAACGTGCGTCAACTTCCTGTTGTCCTTCCGCCGCCATAACTGTGACGTGCGGGCCATGGACGACGCACTGGACCTCGGCGTTGACTGGACGCAGCTGCGGCTTCGGTACCTGCGGTGAAAGTGATGGCGCGGGCAGGGGGCGCCAGGCGG